GCACTGGCCACTGCCGAATCCTCGATGCCATCTCTTCTGGTCCCACCTCCCAGGCCAGCCCCCGCCCCAGGGCCTGCTCCCGGCCCGGTGTCAGCTGACTCCCAGGGTCGCTGTGCACCTGTGCGCTTGTCCTGCGCCGCGCACCGCCAGCTCCTGCCCAGCGTGGGCCTCGGGCGATCGCCCCTCGCCGGCCCTCCCGCCCCATTCATCCCCATTAGCCGCGGTCCGCGGGCGCGGGAGACGGATTCCCGCGCGGGGCGCTGAACCGTGCAGATGAGGATGTCCCTTGCCCTTCTCTCTCCTCTTCCTCTCCACCCGCAAGCTGGCGCTTAGCTCCCATTGGGGAACGACTGCCCCGTGCCTGCCCTTCTGAGAGCAGAGGTCCCACCCAGCCTAGGAAGGGGGTGGTGTGGCGCACAGCTGCAAGGGGTGGGCAGACGGTGCGCCTCCCCCCAGCTGTGCGCTCTGGGCCACCTGTGTGCCGCTCCGAGTGCCGGTTTCCTCACCAGGAAAAGAAACCCCACCTCACAAGGGTGTCATGCGGCTTAGGGAGAAAACGAAAGCAACGGGCATTCAAAATCAGAAAACGCAAGACACGTGCACAACATTGTGAGCTGAATTTATTGTCGCCACGTGTAAACCACCCGCAACCAGTGCCTGCCAGAGGCCCCAGGACACTGTGCAGCTGATGCCGGGAGCCAGGGCACAGGGAAAGAAAGGCCCCACACCTGCCCAGCGGGGACAGCACCTGGAACCCTGAATGCAGAGCAGCCAGGGCCCCCGCCACGGGTGGCTGTCCCAGAGGGGGCTATCGGGGCACAGGGGCCAAAGCCAGACCCTACACCCTTTGGTTTACAGAGTCAGTTGCCAACAACTTAAAAATCGGAATATTTCACATGGAAATCTGTCTTCCTGGCTTCTCCAGATTGCTGACATCAGACCTGTGTTCCAACCTCACAGCAACGAGCTACCACGGACCGCGGCAGCCGCCACCTTCAGGTGGGATCTGTGCTTGGCTGCCCCCACACCCAGCTCTCACGGCGAGTGGCCATACTCCGCCAGCTTGTGCAGACGCTGCTCCTCTCCCCAGCAACAGCAGGAAGGTGGCAGACAAGCGGCCACCACTCCAAGGCCCCCTGCCCCACGCGCACACCTGGGCCTGGGCACCCGCGCTGCAGACCTCTGCACAGCCCAGCCAGGGGCGCCGGGTCACCCCGCACACACACCCCCTCCTGCAGCTGTTGAGAGGCAGAGCTGAAGTCGCTCTCGAGGAATTTCCCAATCCCCAACCCCAGCGCCAGTGCGCAGGGCGGGCAGGGCCCTGCAGGGCGGGCTGCGGCGGGAGGGGCGGGCGCGCCCTCTGGTGGCCGCCGGGCGGCTCTGCGGCTGCGGGCAGCTCTGGAGCTTGAGTCCCAGGAGTCGGCCGTCCACAGCCCCCACCACACGCAGGCTCCCCCACAGCCCACCCCCCCGGCCATTCTCCTGGGTGCCCTGGCACCCACCTCCGTCCCCAGAAGGGCTGGACCCATTCCAGGCTTCCCCCTCTTCAGGGTGGGGTTCAGCCTCCCCATCCATCCTTCATGTCCCTGTGCCTCTTGTTGTGTGTGCAGGGAACAACCCCCAAAGTGGGGGGGCCCGACTCCACCAGCCTCCAGGGGCCCCCATCGACCGACCGGGGAAGCTTGAGTCCTGGGTAGCGTTGCCACCAAAGCGCCCGTGCAGCCAGACGGCCGTTGGCCAAGAGAAGCCGTGGATGTGGACCTTTATGTGAAATACGCCGATTTTAAAGGTTGGCTCCAATGTGCAAGCGACCCAGGCTGGAAAAAAAACACGTGGGCAGGGCAGGGCCAGGCCAGGGCTTCCAACGGAGAGTTCTGCTGAGGCCCCACAGCTGGCAGAACCTCCCAGATGGCGGGCATGAGCCAGTGGCTCGCAAAGTTTTGTTTATTTGAGCAGTTTCTAGCCATCATCATCATGTTTGCTCCTAAGAGGCAGGCAAGAGAGAGAAAACCCTGGGGCCCATTTCAGAGCCGGGGACACTGAGGCTGAGGGCGGCTCCTGGCAGGCTCAAGGTCACGGCCAGTAAAGAGAGCCCCGGGGGCCGCGTGAGACGGCGACCCGGCCAACAGCCGTCCCCACAAGCTGCCCCACAGCCTCGCATAGGGAAATGTGTCCCAGCGCTGACCGGGGGGCTGCGGGACACTGGCAGCCCCTCCTAGCAGCACCTCCTGCCCCACCCGGCCTGCACCCCCCGAGTGGCGCCCTTCCTAGTCCCCTCGAGAGCCCACCACCCCAACACTACCGAGACAGTGGCTCCCGTGCATGCGTGTGCATGAGTGAACACACACGTACACACACGTACACGCCCTCCAGGTACACGGCTCCCGGACAAGCAGCCTGGGCAGAGCCCCAGATGCTTCTCGGTCGGCAGGCAGCGCAGGAGCACGACAGGCCCCCCTCGGGGCTCGGGTTCAAGCAGGAATTGCCTCCCACAGCCTTGCCCGTCCACCGGGAGCACAGGAGGACGGACCCGGGCAGGGCCCCCGAGAGGCCTGTGTAGGCCAGGCACGTGGCCATGGCTGGGGCAGCCTCACCAGTTGGCCTTCACCGCCTTGATGTCACTCACAAGGTTCTGGGCCAGGCAGATGCCAAAGATCTGTAAGACAGAGGGCAAGTGAGGGCAAAGGCAGGCCCCGGGCAAGGGCAGGGGCGTCGGAGCCAGGGCAGTACCTGGAGGAGGGCGATGCCCACGAAGACCCCGGCCACGACGATCAGGTTGTCCTGCAGCCACTTCTCGAACTGGCCCACGCAGCCTTTGGTGTGGATGAAGCCCTGCTGCTCCAGCTCCTAGGCACGTGCAGGCACCAGGCTCGGCCACCTGCCCTCCCCGCTCGCCTCGCCCGGGGCCCCGGCTGCAGGCCCACGCCCCGGAGCACTGCCACGGGCCTCCCAGGGCCGGCTCCTGGGGTCTCAGCACGGACGCCCCTCCTCTGAGAGGCCGTCCCTGGCCACCCAGCCCCTCTCCCATCACCTCCCTTATTGTCTGCCAAGCTCTCAGCTGAAGTGGTCACCTGACTGTCCACACCTCTTCACCTGTGAGCTACGGTCTTTCTGCCTCCACTCCCGGGGGGAGCAGAGACTCTGCGTATCTCGGGCTGGACCCCCGGGGCCTCCCGCAGTGCTGGGCACCTGGCGGCCCCGAGCAGAGTGGGAACGGGCGCCCCCGCCGGTGCCCGGGCCACAGCGACACACCAGCCGGGGCGTCCGGCGGGCTCCCGGGACTCGGGCCCCTCTCCCCGGAGTGCCTGAGCCCTCCCGTCCTGCCCCAGCTGCCCCAGCCCTGTCGCCACCCTCTTACCAGTTTGAGCCGGACGTCGTAGCCACACTGGGTGTTGACGACATCCTCCTGAGGGGAAACAGGCCAGTCAGCGACGTGGCACGGGGGTGTCCCATGGGGGTGTCCCACGGGGGTCCCTGGTGCCCAGGCACCGCGACGGCTCTTCTTCCCCGGAGGACACAGGTGGACCCACGCACGGGCTCTGTGCGCCCGCCGCTCTGAAACACGGCTCCCAGAGGCCCGTGTGCCTCCTCCCCCCATCACCAAGGCACGTGGCTGCAGACGCCAGCGTGCACCTGCCTCCTGTCTAGGAATCCTGCCTGCTGGGCTTTTATTAGAAAGGGGGAGGCCGGGCGCGGTGGCTCACGCCTGTAATCCCAGCACTCTGGGAGGCCGAGGTGGGCAGATTGCTCGAGGTCAGGAGTTTGAAACCAGCCTGAGCAAGAGTGAGACCCCGTCTCTACTATAAATAGAAAGAAGTTAATTGGCCAACTAATGTATATATAGAAAAAAATTAGCTGGGCATGGTGGCGCATGCCTGTAGTCCCAGCTGCTCAGGAGGCTGAGGCAGGAGGATTGCTTGAGCCCAGGAGTGTGAGGTTGCTGTGAGCTAGGCTGACGCCACAGCACTCTAGCCTGGGCAACAAAGCGAGACTCTGTCTCAAAAACAAAACAAAACAAAACAAAACAAGAAAGGGGGAGAAACCTGGCCCTCGGCCCAGAAGGGTCAGCTCCCCCCACCCCCTGCCACCCCAGCATGGTGGCACGGTGGGGTGGTGACTGGTGGTGGCCCAGGCAACCCCTGCCACATACACCCATGAATGAGAGGGACGCCAGCCCCTGGCCACCCTTCCAGCTGGCCGGGAGCAGATGTTTCGCTGGGAATGCAGGGTGCACGGAGGCCTCTGGGCCAGTCCCCACCCCCCGGGTCCTGCCGTTTCCAAATCGCCACTATCAAAGAGACAGGTCTCGCTGATCAGGGAGGGCGGCGCCAGCCCCGACGGGCCTCAGAGCCTCCGTGTAAAAGGGCCACCCCCAACACCCACACCCCGAGAGCAGAGCTGAGCAGGGCCCTTGGGGGGGTGGGGGAGACGGGCCCCAGACGGGGTCTGCACATGGCGGCACCTCGACCCCTCTTCCCTGGCCCCACTCACCGCGGGGTCCCTGACGCAGCAGGAGAAGGGCACCCCGCAGCGCTCCCGGCTGGGGTTCAAGTCAGTGCAGTTGAAATAGATATTGAGGTTCCAGTCGTTGGGTCCTCGGGCTCCGCAGCAGGACCACTGGGGGCAGGGGAGAGCCCTGGGTGAGCCAGGCCTGCCCCAGGCGCCTTGCCCTCCCTGGAGACCAGCCCCAGCCGCGGGGAGGCAGGGCTGTCTGGCACGGGGCCTAGAGACAGCCAGAGAGTGGGCACCTCCCCCGCCACAGCAGACAGGCCGGGCCTGGGCCCAACCTCTGGCTGACAGAGGTCAAGGGGTACTGGGAAGGGGCCCTGGGATTGCCCCCGACAGGAGAAGCTGGAAAATGGGAAGGAAGGGGCAGAGGATACTGGTGGGGGGGACTGTGTCTTCCTCCGGCGCTCCCTGAGGACTGGGTGCTGGGCCCAGCCCTGCGGGGTCATACGCCACTGAGCCCTGTGTTTGCTCCGGGGTCCCCACACTTGCTCAGAGACCTCACAAAGACCTCTCGTGCTCAGTGCAGGTACAGGAGGGGACTCCTGCCCGCCCCTCCCTGCCACCTCTCGGCCAGCCCATCCACTTCCTATGTGCCTGCTGGCATCAGTCCGTAGCCCCATCACCCTACCCAGGATGTCCCGTGCTGCTCAGGGGCCGTGGCGATGACCAGGGAGCTCACGGCCTACTGAGGCACACGGGGCGGCCAGGGCCGTGAGCCGGGCGGAGCACGGCTTGGTGTGCCCCGGCCTCCTGCCCCTGCTCGGCCCAGCTGCTCCCACTGCAGAACGCTCCCCGCCCCCTTCGGCCCCTGCTCCTCTTCCTCCTTTGGCCTCAAGGTCACCACTCCGAGGCCTCTCTCTCCACCCTCCACCTCGGCCCTCACCTTACCACAACTGACACACTGTGCACACTGTGCACACGCACGTTTGTCTGTTTGCTCATTTATGTCTCTTTCCCAACTGCCATGCCCGTGAGGACAGGTCCCGTTCTTTCACCACTGAATCCCCAGCACATGGCTGGCCCATGACAGCCCTGTGCTGAACAAATGAATGAATCACATCGTAACCCCTGGCCACACGTCTGGGTTGAGAGAGCTTCGAACCAGGCACCAGCTCTGGCTCACTTCTGGACCCCAGAGCTGACTCTTGGTGATGAATGGCACCAAAGGCCTGTGGCCTCGTGTGGGTGTGATCAGGTGTGACCGTGTGTTTGTGTGATCAGGTGTGACCATGTGTGGGTGTGATCAGGTGTGACCGTGTGTGGGTGTGATCAGGTGTGTGTGGGTGTGATCAGGTGTGTGTGTGGGTGTGATCAGGTGTGGCCGTGTGTGGGTGTGATCAGGTGTGGCTGTTGGATCAGTGCTTTGACCGTGTTGTGGGTTGTGAATCAGGGATGAACTCTGTGTGAGTGTGCTGCGGCCATGTGCGGCAGGGGCCGCGGTGTGGAAAATGGGGCCAGGATGTGCGCGGAAAGGCATTTTGTTGTTTCGTAGGTCGTTTCTGGCTTGCTCTTCAAACAAGGGTTAGAATTTTGCAAAAAGCTCGAGGGCAGAGCGCCAGTCAGGAACTTCCAAATTGCTAATGTTTGTACAGAGCCAGACAACAATCATTATAAAAAAAAGAGAGGAAGAGGGGCTGATGTGGAAATAAAAACACAACAGTGCTTGAGGCCGAGGGGGCGGGCGGATCGCTTCAAGGTCAGGAGCTTTCGAAACCAGCGCTGAAAGCGAGGACCCCCATCTCTACCAAAAAATAAGAAAAAAATTAATTGACCAAACTTTAAATATATAATACAAAAAAATCAAGCGGGCATGGTGGCGCATTTGCCTGTAGTTCCCAAAGCTTAACTTTCGGGAGGCTGAAGGCAAGTAGGATCGCTGAGCGCCCCGAATTGAAGGTTGCTGGTGAAAAGCTTAAGGGGGCCTTGACGCCATGGGGCACTCAACTTCTAGGCCCGGGGCAACAAAAGTGAGACTCTGTCTCAAAAAAACAAAACAAAAAACAAAAAAAAAAAAAAAAAAACAACAGTTGTGGGGACAGCAGAAGAGTTTCCCTGTTACTAGGCTTCGCTGATAATTTTGGTAGGCCCAGGACTTAATCTTTCAGCGCGGGAAAGTGTATATTTTCATGTCAAAAATTTCACTTTAGGTTTTTGGTAAGGCCCAGCCTGGGAGCTGCCTGTTTGGACCGTCTGGCCTCTGTTTCCCAAGCTGTGTGAACGTTTAGGGCTAGGGAAAATG